GCTCCTAAATTAATAAATTTAGCATTTAGTAATTATATATCACTGTTAGAATTTAAGTAATTGACTAGGTATGGTGGCATACACACCTGTAGTCCCATCACCCAGAGACTGAAGCAGGGGATCACCCTGAGTTCAAGACCAGCCTAGGCTACATAGTGAGATCCTGTGTCAACACACACACACACACACACACACACACACACACATTAAAATTAACTAATTCATAGGATTTGAGATAATTAAATGAGGTAATATAAAATAAAAAAAAATGTCCTCAGCACAGCACTTGATATACCTTAAATACTCTGCTTAAAATACCCCCTAAATTTCACATGCCCTGTTCTCTGTCTTCAGATCTGAGATGTCACCTTCATGGTAAGCCCTTTCCTCAGCTTTCAATTCAAAATTGCAGAGCCTGGAGTTGTGGTGTGCACCTGTAATCTTAGCACTTGAGAGGCTGAGGCAGAAGGATCATTGTGGGAGACCAGCCTAGGCTCAAGGCCAGCCTGAAAGACATAGTGAGACCCTGTCTCAAAAAGACAATAAAGTCTCATTGATATTTGTTTCTCAATAAAACAAAACAAAAACAAACAAAAAAGACAATAAAAGTGGGGCTGGGGAGGTGGCTCAGTAGAATAAGTGCTTTCCTGGCAAGCGCAAGGGCCTGAGTTCAATCCCTAGTTCCACCAAAAAAAAAAGAAAGAAACAACAGACAATAAAAGTAAAATTGCATAAAGTGCTTCCCCTATCTTTGTTATTGTCTAATATCTAACCCTGCCTTATTGTCTGTTATACTAGTCATGACCTAGCATATCCATGCTCTGCTTATTTATTTGCTGACTGCCTCAGTTTCTTTATCTGTAAAATGAGGGGATGTTGATAATAGTGCTTACCTCATCATGGGATTTGCATTTTCTTTTGGCAGAACCGGGGATTGAACTCAGGCCCTTGCACTTGCCAGGGAAGCGCTTATTCCACTGAGCCATCTCCCCGGCCCCTGCATTTTCTTTTTTTTCCCATAATCAAAACTTTATTGAAAAACTGCCATCAAAATAGGTGCTCAATGCTGTGCACCTTACAAAGTCAAGCATAATCACATTATCTTGGTATATTCATTATAATTACTGAACTTATGATAAGGCTTTCTATGAAAAAACAAATTCAGGAAGTTGTACGGATCATTAGTGTTGCTTTCTTCTATTTTTTTTTTTTTTACATTTATTTATGTGTGTGTGTGTGTGTGTGTGTGTGTGGCCAGCTCAGCCCACCAGGGGGCGGGGCTGGCTGGCATGTGGTGCTGGGGGATTGAACCGCCGTCCCTGTGCTTTGCCAAGCTTGTTCCAAGTAGGTGCTTTAGACCACTGAGCCATCTCTCCAGCCCCTTAGCTCAGTTCTTTAAGTGGCTGCTTCAACAAAGCAGTCAGGCTCAGATTGCTGTGGTTTGATCCCCACAACTCAAGCCAGCCAAACCTGCCCTGAAGGCATTCAGAGCAAGAAAAAAAACAAAACAGTTTCTAGAACAACATCCAACCTGTAAAGTAGTATGTCTGTGTTAGCAGCTACTATCTTCCTTATTTTATATATATTCTCAGTTACTCTTCTCTCATTGCTGGAACAAATACATGACCCTCAAAGAAAGGAAAGGTTATTTAGCTCAGTCAGTGGAGGTTTCAGTCCATACTCAGCTGGCTTGAAGGCAGAGCGGCACATGGAAGAGGGCAGCCCCTCATCGCGGCCGCAAAGAGCAAGAGAGCAAAGGGAGGGGTAGCAGCTGCTGCTTCTAGCACACCTCTCTCCCCTCACGTTGTATTGTAGATTACCTGACCCAGGATGGGTTCAGCACCCACACCCACAATTATCGACCACAAACTCCAAAAGTCACCTCATGACTGCATGAGGCTTCAGGGGGGACAGCTATTCACAAACTAATAAACACACACACACACACACACACACACACACACACACACACACACACACAGGTTTTTTGTGATACTTTGTTGTTTTGGCACCAGGGATTGAATTTATGACCTTGTGCTTATGTGGCTGAGCTATCTCCCCAGCTCTTTCCTTATTATGTAGCAACGTAGTGGTAGTGGAAAGTACTTCTTTGTTTTTTATGAGGGGCCGGGGAGATGGCTCAGTAGAATAAGTGCATGCTTGGCAAGTGCAAGGACATGGGTTCAACCCCCGGTTCTGCAAAAAAAAAAAAAAAAGTATTTGGTACAAGGTCTCACTATGTAGCTCAAACTCATAGTAATCTTCCTGTTTCAGCCTCCCCAGTGCTATTACAGGTGTGCACCATCATACCCAATCTTGGTGGTGGGCTCAGAGCACCCTGCGGTAGGGCCAGCGCAGCATGTGGTGCCAGGGATCAAACCCTAGTTCTTGCACTTGCCTAAGCAGGTGCTTAGTCCGCTGAG